CGTACGAGGTGATGGTCTCGTTTTTCGTAAGCTGCCATTGTTTAGGCGCCCTGGGAGCGGCGGCCATGTTGGTTTTCCTACGCGAGCGGTTACGGCGAATTCACGTTGATTTGTTGATCTTCGCACTTCGGGAAAATAAGGGTCACAGGTTCCAGACGACCACACTTGTGTTAGGGTCCACCGTACGTGGGTAAAAGCCGCTGCCACCACGCCAATAAGGAACAAACTGTGTCTTAACGAGGGTTTACTGAAGACTGAACGAGAGCCGCATGGAATTACAAAGATGAACCACGGGCGCATGCGCGCGCTAGATACCGCTGAAAGTAACGCAATAACAACGTAGTGGCGCATAGTTAGAAAACCATAATTAAAAATAAACATAATAAATTCTTGTTATGCTAAAGCGTAACTCTGTTATTATTCATTCAAACACTCAATAGTTCGCGCTGCAAATTTGGCGATGTCAAAAGTGAGAACCGGCTAGCCGGAAAGGTGATCTTGGAAATTTTTTTAACATTTTCGCTAAAAGCCTATTATTACCTTACATACCACATAAGAGCAGATCGTTGTGACTGAACAATCCCGACATTATGGAATTCCGTCTTCATGAAAATGTTTTATAATATGTTGTCAATTCTTTAATTTTTGTTGCAAAGTAAGCGAGTGCTTCGATTGTCCAGAATACTGAATGAGTGCAATGTGTCTTGCAAAATTGTGAAAAACTGCATTCTGTCCAAGGTCTACAGTGTATGATAAAAAAAAGCGCCGCGTAGTACTGTTTACCACGGATGTGATGTATAACTGAAAAGTATAAAAGGCTGCTTTACACGCCACCAGTTGGCAAGATTTTGTAAAGTAAACTTGTCGAAAGCGAAAAAATTGGCCTGATTTTTTTATTTTTGCCTCCCTTTTAGATTTAAGTAATAGCAAACGGTTTCCGTGTTTGCATAGCCTGATATAAACACGAGAGGGGTTGGGAGAATTCGAGACAGTTATGCAAACCCGAGACGAAGTCGAGGGTTTGCGTAACCGTCGAGAATTCTCCCAACGCCTCGAGTGTTTGTATCAGGCTATGCAAACACAGGAAAAAGTTTTCTATTGCTTTTATAGAATAACTTTCCGAGAAAAAGCGCAAAACTCTTTGTATGGCAATGATTAAAAGAGAAATTCTTACCAGTCGCAAAGTCTTGTCCACGAAGTCTTGTACGCGTAATCAGTTCTTGTTTTGCAAAAAGATGCAAGATGGCTTTTCTCGCTTGAAAATGTCAGCTTAAGCGAAAAAAATTGACACACCTTCTTTGTAACGATTTTCCAAGTTTCAGCCGACGAAGGAATGGGCAAATAAAGTAAACTTGTTGAGTTTTGAACTCGAAAACTTTTTCAAATTCCTGCTTGCGTGATTAGCACGCGAAAAGCAAAACATCTTGACGCCACAACCATGCTTACATACTCTCATGCAAACACCCCTCTCAGCCAATCAGACCGCGCGTACTATCTTAATTATTTTATAAAGAGGGATGTAACCTATAAATTACAACGTGTACTATTGGCTGCCACTGAGGACTATCGTGTCTTCTTATTATAACAAGCCTATATAGCATAAGATCAAATTTCGGTGCTGTCCAGTATACGTTATAAAATAAAGATGGTGTAGGAGGGCGACAGGATAATTTCGTTTGGGAAGAATTTGTTTTCCAGGCCTAATCTACTGTGATCAAAAGCCGTTATGCTCTTGATTGTGATCGAAGATGATTGCTTTTTTTTGGGTGTACATATAAGGCTATTAACTCGATGTAAGATTTGTTTCACTCTTGGACTGTTTTCAAATTATTTTTCTCTAAAATCACTTAGCCTTTCCCTCAAAAGTCACATGAATGTGCCCTAACGTTAACTGATTTGTGGATTACAAGTTTATTGTTTGATTTAAATTATAAATGAATTAAGGGAGCTTCGCTTTTAGCCCTGACTAAATCTATATATTATACGGAGCCAGTAAGTTCTTTTGTTGCTTTGTAAAAATTTTAATAAAATAAAAGACAGAATGATATAACATTCATCGTTTTTCATTCAAAGTTAATTTTTTCGGTAAAATTCTCGCGCTGTTTGGTTCAGGTTCATCGGGAGTGTTACTAGGTGTCATTTAAAGGCTTTTGAAAATTTTTAATTGTGGGAAGAGTGGTTTTCAAAAATCCAGTTATACATATAATAGATATATAAACAAATTAGCTCGACGGTTAATGTTTTCTTTTACTAACTTAGGAATAGGCCATTTCCGAGTTCCCTCGGGCCTCTGTTTCAAAACGAGGGTAGGTGCTCAGCCTTTTATATGGAAATCATTTTTCATCCTCATGCAAATAACACTCATTTTCACAAGAAAGGTTGTGCACCTAGCCTCATTTGGCCTATTACGAGTAAAAGTAGATAATCCCATTACTTTTCTTCTTGAAGAAAAAAAGATACATTGAAATAAACTAAACATTCATTTGAGCTTTCATTTGAGTTGAATGAAACTAAAATTTCTTTCCAAAAAAATAATGAGAGGGAAAGGGTCAAGTCAATCTTATTTTCTTGGTGTTTCATTTTTGTAACATCAATTTTAATTTGCTTGAAATAGTTGAACTTCTAACAAAAATACATCAAAGTACAGTTTATATAATACTCGAAAAGCCTTTTTAGCGAGTTGGTCATAATAAAAAAATTCATATCTCGATAAAAGAAACTCCATCGATGAAAGTTCAAGGGTTAAGTTTAAGTGTACAACATTTAAAAGTTCTAACTAGGTTTGGCCAATTTACGTCTCCCACTTGAAAAGCACCAAAGGCAAGATGGTAAGAATTTCAAAGAAGATGATAAATCTGAAAATAAAGTAAAAAATAAGGCAGGTTTGACCGCTAGCTGGATATATAATTGTTACACTAAGTACCCAGGGAACAATTTACTGTTTTAATTCCCAACACAGGAGAGTATACGTATATAAAGTATATGTATAATACAGTGGAATCTCGACCGATAACACGAACTCGGATAACTCGAATTCTCCGCTAATTCGACCTAAATTTCCCTTCCCTTGATCAGAATTTCACTAAAATTTACCCCGATAAATGGAATTCCCCGCGAATTCGAACTGTTTTTCGTTTCCCTTCAGAGTTTGAGTTACCGGGGTTCTGCTGTTATGTCATTTTACCAATGCATGACAAGAAGAAAAGAATCTAATCTCCCTAAGGGTTGATTTCCAATGTCGCGTAATTTTTACGGCGTACGTGCGTAAAATTTACGTTTGCAACTAAAATAGAGACAATGCATGAAAGGTCCCTCATAAGCGTAAAAGTTGAACCTCGCCCAACTTCTCGTTTAAGCTCAGCAATTTTTACATTGCCTCTGTTTTATTTACGTGATTAAAATTTACGTGCGTTAACGCGCGTAGCCCAAAACGCGTCAGTGAAAATCAACCTTAACATCAGCTGGGCGCTTTTTTTTACAGTCAATTCCCTTTTGGAGGTTGAGTTAGATTGATCGAAGAAGAGTACGCAAAAGGTTCTGATACAAATCTCTGTACAGAGAAATACGTGATTTCTAGAGTTCATTCCATTTATTTTTATTCCGGAATACCTTCAATCGAACTCAACCGAACTTATCGAACTCAATCGAACTTAGTTTCCTCATTACCGAGAGTCTGCAATAGCGGGATTCTACTTCATGCCAACTTCTATAATTTATTTTTGCCGGTGATTCAGATGCTATCCGTATTATTGGGGCGTCCCTAAGGCGAGTGTACTGAGCTAAATCCAAGTCGAAAAGAATTTGGGGCTATTCGGCTTTTATATCAAAACATAAAAAGCCCATGATGCAGAGACAGTATTTTTGCTTTCTAAAGGTCTTTGTAAACAGAGAATTATCGCGGGTGCGAGATTACAAAATTTTGCGACTTGGTTCATAGCATCAGAAAGAAACGGAAGCTTTTGATAAATAAATGTGAAGGTTGTTCTTTATATGTTGTAGCGCTAGGCGAATCCCGGGGGTACCCCTGTAAGTAAGTCATGTGACATATGGAGTAATAACCATGTGCGAAGTAATGATTCAGAGACTGGTTTTGCGTGCAGATTAAAGATGCGTTTATTCTCTTGACGCCGAGTCAAGTTCTGGAAAACCATCAAGACAGCGAAAGCCAACAAGTCGACGGAACTTAGGTGACTGATTAATCTGAAGTGTTCAGGGACTGATAAGCATTATAGGACAGTCTAGGCAAGTTAACGGCTTTCATTACCTAAGAACTGTAGACGCTTGGCACGTTGATGAACAAACGTTGGAGACTTGGTTTGTTGTGTTTAATTGAAGTTGTTTTCGGAAACGATTCGTGAAATAGTGGACCAGCACTGGGACAGTGCTTAAGTAGGGAGTAGTGTAGCGCTGGGCGAATCCCTTGGGTACCCCTGTAGGTAAGTCACGTGACATATGGCGTAATAACCATATGCAAAGTAATGATTGAGAGAGTGGTTTTGTGTGCAGATTAAAGATGTGTTGTTCTCTTAACGCCGAGATTTAACTGATAGTTATGGCGTTACAATATGATTTATTTTATGTACATTTGTTTTAAGGTTTGTTTATCAGAGTGTAAACGCACTTTGCCTACCAGGTAGTTTACAAGCACTCCACTCAAATAATATAAAACAAATAACGAAAATAGAACATGACGGGATTAGAAAACACAATAGGCACGACGCAGCAGAGGATTATAACAACGGACAACCGAGAAAAAATCCAGCAAGCGTCCATGGCGTTGATCGCACATGAGACCGCAAGATTGCGAGGCTGAGGCGGTGATCACTCGGCCACGCTGCAACCAGTGTTTTACTTTTTTTGAGATTGATTTTGAGGCCAGTCTTCTACCTTTTTGGGATTAATTATAATAGTTATTTAAAATTGGTAAATTAAACATAGTTTGTCTGTGAGAATGGGGCTAAAGACGACGCCCCGATTAGATCCTGTATTCCGATCTTAACTTACCTAATTTTTGGGCAAACTGCCGATGACACACAACAAGACGGCTTTCCCTCGCTAGTCACGCAACAGTATTTTAATTGTTTATTGTCATTCGGGCGAGGACAGTAGTCTCTTATACCTGAGCCTCGATCTGTGCACCGTTTTCCGCCTGAGTGACAACAGTTAGGACCATTGTGATAGCAACACACACTGGGTGATTTGTTGGGACTTACGTTAATCTTGCCTGGACATTTTAACGGATACTTCCGAACCGCCGGACAAGAATCACCTGCAAAAGTAAGGAGAAAGTTTCCTTATGTTTGTCAATAATCAATGAAAGCGTATATGTGGGCTTAGCCAGCAGTTTTAAAAAGCACCAAAAAGAAATCAAGCAAGACACAGGCAACATTGGGACCAAAGGTACTTTGGTTACCAAATGTAAATAATCATTCAATATTAGATAGAACAGGAAAATATAACAGCAAAGAGAAAACCAGGTAAACAGAAGTCATAAAATGACGAAACTAGCAAACATAATGAGTACATAAAACCCGGCATTACCCAGGGTGGGCGTACTGGGTCCCGCGAACCTGAATTTAAACGAGAGTGAACGCTTTCTACCAGGTTTAGCAAATGGCTTAATTAGTTTAAAAAAATAGCGATTAAAATCGTGGAGAAAATTAACTAGATAAGATTAATTAATATTACAAGACTTTTATAAAGCTTTGACAGAAAAGTATCACCAACAACTGTTGCCACTCCCTTATAAATGTGTCAGGTATCACCTTGGTTAATTGTCAGTCTCCTAAAGACAATCGCAAGTAAGATGAAAAGCCATATGTTGTAGACGTGTTGTTGTGGCCAACTAATGCAATTTATTTGCTTTGTGTATAAGATATTTTTTAAAAAAATAAAGTGACGGTTAGGTTTATGGTCGAGTGCCAGATTGGAATATCGAGCCAGTTAATAGGTTCCTAAAACCCTCATTCTTTCCGGCTAATCAGCGACGAGACTTAAAAATCTCTAAACTAAAAGAGACCAATTCCGATATATTAAAATTCAAACTTGGCTGCGTCGCTTGGGGGAATAAAACAAAAGAAATCATCTTGAGGCTCAGCAATGAATAATACATTTCTCTTGTTTTTTCCCCAACGCCTCGGAGCCAAATATGAATCTCAATATTTCGAAAATGGTCCATTGGCAACAATACTTAACTCAAGAACGCAAATTAGAGTGCATGGAAAAGGGAAAAACAAGCAGAAAAAAGCAAAACAAAAAACTGAAACAAAAGAAATTATCAGGAAGCCTCGTGTAATCTTTCTACCAAACTTCATGTTGAGCTCTTTGAGGTCACAACTGTTTTGCCATGTTGCGGTAACTATCCTCCAAAACTGTCCACAAATATAAGCAGTTGTATCCAAAACAATACTTGGTCCTCTGAGTTTTTTTCTTTGAATCGCGTCGGAGTGAGACAGGGGTGCCCGCTCTCCCCGTAACTCCTCATTCTATGCGCAGAGGCCTTGGGCAATACCGTTAGGAAGGATGAAAACATTCGTGGCATTAATATAGCCAACGTTGAGTGCAAACTCTCACAATATGCCGATGATACAACAATCATTCTAGAAGGATGTGAGTCCCCCTTTTCCAGAACCCTTTATTTACTTGACACTTTCGCAATCTCTTCTGGATTGAAAATCAACTATGAGAAAACAGAGGCTCCCCGGATGGGTTCATGCAGAGATGGAGATTTTCCTGTTCCTTCGAATAAAAGGATCACTTGAGTGAAGATCAAAGTCTACGCCCTCCGCAACATCAATTTGCGTGACAAAATTGAATAAATGAAAAAAATCCTGAGCAGTTGCTCAGTTAGAAAACTGACTTCTTCTTGGTAAATTTGCAATACCAAAATCTCTTGTTGTATCAAAAATTGTTTACCTTCTGTCATCTTTACCAACACCTCAAGGTGTAATCAAGGAGCCATTAATTCTCTATTATATGATTTCCTCTGAGACAGCAAAAGTGATAAAATTAAGAGGAATTTAAAAGGAGGGCTAAAAATGATAGACCTTCAGAGCTCTAATGAACCTTACAAATTAAATGGCTAAAAGGCTATCTAGGTGACAATAATCAGGGGAAGTGGAATCCTTTGTTGATTAAATTATAGCGAAGACAACTTAAATTTCCTTTCCTCCCAGTTTTGGCTTAACTCCCTCACATGAATTGATAACAGACACTTCTTTTATAAGTGACAGTTTCATGCAGGAGTGAAAATGTTTTAAAGGATTTGCTTGACAGTTCAAATCAATAATTTCCTAAGCTACACTACTGTCATTACCAAATACAATATATAGACGAATTATCTAGAGTACTGTAAAGTAGTTTCTGCTCCAGTTAAACACTTGAGGAAAAAATGTTCCTCCAATCAAAACCTCACTCCCTTGGAAAAAAACAATGATAAACCCCTTCTCTTCCGAGAAAGTTTGCATAACAAACTTATCAGATCATTGTTAAAAGAAAGACTTCCTCGCGAGTGAAAAGCCTGCCCAGGGAAAGTGGCTGTCTCAAGAGGATATTTTTTCACATGAACAAGTGAACTGGAAAAACACCTATCAACTGCCATTTCTTCGTGCTACGGAGAAAACTAAGATTATTTCAGTTTAATTTCTGCATAGAAGAATAGCTACAAACGACTTCCTTCTTAAGATAGGCAAAAATGAAAGTAAAACATCCTCTTTTCTTTTTTGTGCTGATTCCCCAGCTACCCTTGCGCATCTTTTTTGGGACTGTAGGTCAACTCAGACTTTTTGGAATAATATTTCGCAATGGATGTCTGAAAATCTTGATCTGGCAAATATCACTCCCTTCTCGCCGGCTATTTGCCTCGGCTTAATTGACAATATATCCAGTCTACTCCTACACCACTTTCTCCTTATCGCTAGACACTATATATATATCTATATATTTGCAAACTACGAAATACCCTTCCTGAGCTGCGAATGTGCACTCAGTTATACGCCCCATGGAAATTGAAAAACAGATTGCTTTCGACAAAAATAACTTAGCCTCCTTTAGGAAGAAATGGGCTACTTTCAAAGAATGTCTCTCAGAAAAATATCCTCCAAAATAACGGCTGCCACGTACGATTTTCGACGTTCTTTAGACGAGGATTTCGTTCGATTTGAAAGCTATTTGGAAGCCGAAATTTGGTGAGTAACTTATCTTTGTATGAACTTTCTGTTAACAGAAGAAAAAATATAACTTTTTGAAACGAAATCACAAGTGATTATCTAAAGTACACAGTAATGGTTTGAACACTCCTCCTCTTATTGAATTCGGTAAGTGCAGTTTAATTTAAAGATCCTTTCTTTAACCGATTGTAAACATTACAAACATCTTACCTTTTATTGCAGAAGACTTGAACATCGCTAAGAAGCCAAAGCTCGTAATTTTACCATCCGATCTGAATCTGACCCAAAGATATCTTCCACTTGAATACAGAATGACAGATGGCTTCATATTAGTTCCACATAATCTAGTCAGTAAATGATCGCTTGAGTCGTTCCCATCCCTTACTTCAAGAAAGTCGCATCTGCAAGCATCACAACTTTGAATAGACATTGGAGCAATTTCCAGTGCTATACGAGTGTTGGGAGGAGTAGTAATTTGCCAAATACAGTCCATATTGTTAGAATAATTACGAGACGAGAACTCTGGGCTGTGTATATCCCCGACTCTGGAATTAATTTGAGTAAAATTTCTGCAAACTGAAGAAAAATTAAGAGATAGGAGATTTAGTCTTTGGCACTCATTGCAAATGGTAGGAAACCTTAGAACCTTAAGTGGCTATCATAATCATCATCATCACAATCAGCATCATCATCATCATTATAATAATAATAACCATCATCGTAATCATTACCATTATCATCATAATAATTTAAAAAAAACAAATCACTGGGAGAGGTTTCACACAGCTACAATAAAATTTTCAAGTGAAAAATTAAAAAAAAAAAAGACTCAACATAAGTTTGAGTTATAAAACATCAGTAACATTTAGTAACGTATTGTGCGTGCATTGTTAGCTTATTTAAACAATACTTTTTTCCAGATTGAGCCAGATTACGTGTTCAAGCAAGAGTAGTCATAGAGGGTCATTTTACCCCTCTTTGGTGGATAGGTAAGGATAGTTTAGGGATAGTCTATGACATCATCCACTGTTTTGACCTAGGGAAAAATGCGTTTGTCCATACTAATTAAGTGCCTAGTCAGTGCCTCGCTAGCTAGGTAAAAATGCGTTCCTCCATCTAATAACTGTCTTCCTGCATACTAATTCGGTATAGGTTTACTAATGAGCGTTTCTCTACTGCAATAGGCACAATAGGCTTGCCTAGATTTTCCTGTTAAGTAGCTTGAGCCCGGCTTACTGGAACGTCTCTTAATAGGAAAATAGGAGCCATCATCTAGCATCATCTAATGCCCCTAGGTTTTGCCACATCTCACCTCTTCTTCGTGGTCTGCATTGGCTTCCTGTTAAAGCCACGATACAATTTAAGATACTGCTTATTACGTTCAGGGCAATTCACGGCCTTGCTCCTAAATATCTTACGCGATTTACTAAAATTTAAATCGTCCTTATATAACCTTAGATCTTCAGGTAGTATTTTACTTTCTATGCCAGCTGTTCGATCGAATACGTTAGGTGATAGAGCTCTTATGGTAGCAGCGCCAACGCTCTGGAACTCCCTTTTGAAGAGAACTTCGTGCGATGACTAATATGAACAGTTTTAGGGCGCATATTAAGACTTATCTTTTTAGAACTTTATATTGGTGAGCAATTTTATTTTCAGTTTTTACTTGCATGCAAATATATTCTTTTTATTGTTATTTTTTTAAAATGCATTATCTTTTGTTTGTTTCTTGTAAAGTAACACAGTTGTAATGGGCAGCTGATCATTCTCATGTTAAACTGCGCACAATAAGTTCATAAATTATTATTTATTTATTATTAATAGGCCTTTGTACGAGTTGAGATTGTGTTTCCTGGAGCGGATGTATTCGTGAGGACTGAGAAAGTGAGGGTGAAGGGAGCAACACTGAAACGACCAGTGACCAAGTTGTGCTTATTAGAAGCAGTTAACGATGAATAGGAGATGAACTTTGAAGAACATTGTACGAACCTGAACGAATGTTCTGATTCTCTTTTGTTGAATTTATGAACCCTCGTTTAGCTGAGGGTTCATAGGGGGCGAAATATTATGAATTAAATCGGTTGCCCATGACAACGCATCCCCTGGATTTCCTTAGGATAGGATTGACAAGCGAGCGGGTGATTTTAAAATTCAGTTTTCTCTTGCAGTCGAGAAGAACTGAAGATTTGTGAATAGAACTGGAAAAGGAGAAACAATTTCACGTTAGTGTAAGTAGGTGTTTTTCGAGATCTTTTTTTCTTTGGAGCGAATTTTTCATAGGATACTTGGTTTTTCCTTTTAGCGAGTCGATCTATCTATTGAAGTGCCTCAAATCCATGTAGAAGAGAGAAGGGACCGAGCTGATATCGACGCGTGAATAAAAGTTGAATTGAAAGTAAACTGAAATCTGTCTAGTGAATACTCAAGAACCGCGAGCTGGCGACAACACCACTCTCTTGAACACAAACGCACCAGAAAATCATCAGGCGTCATAAACTAATTGAGAATTACTACCTGCTCCTGGGAGAACTGAAGAGAAGGAAGCTGTGAATCCTGTAAAGCTGTTGCCATGATCGGATTTAAAGACGATCGACAGCGTCTGCTGGCTTGAAAAGAAAGGCCCCGGCAAAACGCTACCGCAAAACTTTCCAAGAGAGGTTTGTTTTGGTCCAGTGTAATCAAAAACCTCTACATAGTCACATTTGCAGTCAATACAGTTCTCCAAGTGAAAGGTTTTAAATGAAAGTTGAACGTGCACATGGGAGCCTGGAATTGTTATCGTCCAGTTGCAACTAGTATTGTCTGGATATAGTAAAGAACCGTGTGGCTTAGGACTTTGTAAATTCCCGGAACTGTTGGTGAAACGATAGATATCAGGGCACCCTATTGAAAAAGAGAAAAAACAAAATGACCATGATTAAAGCTGCAGTTTTTTTGCTAGGCAAAAAAGTCCTTGTCCCGCTCACACACACTAATAATAATAATAGTAATTATAATATTAATAATTATTAAAATTGTACTAATAAAATGTTAGCTTACAAATTTCAAAGACTAAAAACTTTGTTTTTTCCTTCAGTCACCTTTCTAGGATTAATCCATAGTCTACTTCGTTTCACTGAGCGGTAATATAACAGGACTTACAAAATCCTTTTTTAAATACGAGTAACCTCAATAACATTGTTTTGTCTTGAAACTTACATTGCGTTGAAACGCATTCCACTAGATAGAGAGCTGAAAAAAGAAACATACGAGGGAGGTAAAAATTCACAAATATTCTATACATAGTAAGCATTCCCGTGTATACATATACGGGATAGACTGAAGTAATGGTCACGGAGTAATCAGCAAATCCCTTGGAATTCTCACAAGACTGAGACACTTTGTTCCCTCTGGTACTTCACTTAGCATACCTAGCCAACGTTTGAAAACGTGCCTCCAAAAGGCCCAGAATATTTGCACAGAAACCTGGAGATAGCTAGGTTTCTGGTGGCTGCGGTGCGAATTTTCATAGGGGGCTTGCTGTCTTGATTGGTCTCATCGTTAGGCTCAGTACCTGAGTTAACTTGCCATGGGGTGGGAAGGGGCCTCCATGTATATCCACAGAGGGAAGGGTGTTGCAAAAGCGTGGTATGGTCAGTTTGTCTCTTTGGAGAATCAGTTCACTGATCATGTGTCTGCTTCAAGCTTTTCATGCCAAATTCTTTAAATGTTTCGGGCCGGGCGGGGGGGAATGTGGCCTTGAAATCTCTGCTTATGTCTAGCTTAAGTCTCAAGCTGTCGCTGTCATGTAGAGCCTTAAAGCAGCTAGAGATGGCTAAGTTGAGAGTTTCTTTTTGATGGACTTGAATATTTCTTTGCTAATCAGGAACTAAGAAGAGAGTGACCTTAGAAGGCTTATGGTTAAGAGCTGAGTTTCTTTAGAATATTTACTTTTTTAAGTCAAGTTAGGCTGTGTGGCCTAGAGTTGTCAGCTGGTGCGGTTTTCATAAATTCAGCTAGATATATAAATCTTTAATCCAGCCCTACAAAACTTATGGTACTGCTGTATGGGACCTGGAAGCCGCTAAAACAAACTTGGACAATGTATTAATTGACTGAATTGAGCCAAAACGCGCGCTTTGTTTAATTCACTTTGTTCCACACAGATCTCATGCGATACTGTTATTCAACCTATATAATATCCTCCCGCTTAACTTTCAATACTGCTGGTCAGTTTGTACTATTATGCATGCCTTCAGCTAACAATTGTTCGCCGGAAGCTTTTTCTAACTTATTTATTGAACCTTCGAAGTGCATTACTAGAGCTACAACACTAGGTTGTAGTCTAGTGGTCTTTACATTAAATATTCCAGGACAAATCATTTAAAATATTCATTTTCTAGATTTGGTGCAAGAATTTGGACCAGTATTCCTCTAAGTATCAGAGTACCTCCTAAACACAAATTTAAAACTTCTTCACATCAGCTCCTTTTATATATTTTAGAATTGGAGGATACTTATATTGACACACCTACTTTAATTAATAAACTAGATGATATGAAATGTAAAATAAGTTTGTCATTTTGTAACGCTGTACTGTAACAACTTCAGTCCATCTTCTTGTGTCATTTATAAAGATGTTCCTTTCCCTGTGTTCTGCTTAATTTCTCCCTAGCAAATTACTTTATGTTTTCCTTTGCCCGCCTCGATTAGCTAAGCTATTTGAGAGCAGAGGATGTTTGTGTTTTAATCTGATTTAATTTAATTTGTAACTTCTTTGAAGATTAATATTAAACTTCAAACTTCACTTCACTAAAAATCTGTAAAGGCGGTTCCTTGATATAATTAGTTCCTTAAAGCCCACCCATTAAACGTGTGTAAGGACTCTACAATTATCGTAAAG